AGCGGAAATAAATGCGGATGAATAAGGATCGCGTGAACGGCTCCTCCGGGCGTGGCGCATTTTGGGTTGTCGCCGCGCGTTGAAGCGGCACGAAGTCCGACGGTTCACCCCCTGCGTGCGCTGGGAAGCTTCTTTCAGCGCGTAGCAGCGTAACGCCGAGCGAACGACACCTGTAAACACCTCGGAGAGCTGAGCCGTCAAAACCTGTGCAGTAGTAGTAGTAAGAACCGTGGGAAATCTATAATGCAAGTTTTTGGGTTAGTTCGCGGAAATATTGATGTGTCGTTAAACCCGCCACCACCCGACACAGCCAATGAGTAAGGTTTGTCACCCACAACATTTACTGTCCAACACACCGCCGTGCTGTACTAGTAACGAATTGGCATGTTCTGTTTACGTGACAAACCTTACTAATTGGCTCTGTCGGGTGGTGATTGTGGGTTTAACGCATTTATATTTTTACGCGATGTAACCCAAGCCTACTACGTCTTAAACGCTGGGAAATGTTCGTCAACAAGGGGTGCAAATCAGATGCTGAAAAGAAGTTTCGTAATGATGCATTTATTCATCGACGACCGTCGGTTATTAGGCTCACAATAACGAATCGCGGGGGTTAAGAATCAATATTCGTTTTGACTCTCCTTATGATCACCTTATGAGCAACGGAGTAAAACGTTGGTGGACGATGTGGTGGCATAGCGGGCACAGCTGTTCGCCACCAGTGCAGGCCTGAGTTCAAATCCTGGCCATGATTAACGTCATTGAGAAGAGATATCTGATCCGGTCTTGAGTCTCCCCATCATCAGCCCACATTGGCCAGTGTAGTGAAGTTAGGCCAAAAACTAACAAAAAACCCCCGTGACTAACAGAAGAACTGGATTGACAAAGGGCTGCACGTGACTTGCGTTGTATGTCACATGTTCGTGTGACCTGGCAGCCACGAGAGGCCTCTATTGGGATCCTCACTTCAGTGTGAATCAGTTTTGTAATGGACTTAGAACAGTGTTAGTCCAAAGAGGTTGCTACGTGATGAAGAAAATAAGAATAGGCTTAACCTTCTATGGCAATATACCCGGCTTTTAAGATGTTCACGCACCAACTAGATATCTATTGCAAGGCACCAATTCTCGATTAACCACACATGCTTGTGGCAAAACACGCAAACAAACGTGTTCTGATAATAAATGCATTGTCTTTGAAACTTATTGCCAGGGAGGGTAACGCCTATTCTTATTTTTCATCATGTTGATACTGGCAGAAACGTCCCGTGCCTTCCTGTGTGTCATCAGCGCGTTCGTGATGAACTGGACTGATAAAAGTGCCGATAACAAACCTTCAAGATTATTACTTCACCTCAAAATAAAAACAACCGATTCCTGGATGAAATCTGGACAATTCATTGAATCACTGGGAGGCGTCAACCTTGAGACACCTGCTAACAAGTTGTACTTATTGAATGATAATTGAACTTCAAAGCCAGATCTTTGTGATGAACTGATCAATCTATGTGATCGCATCACGGAACTCGTCCGGTATAATTCCCATTTTTTCCAGGTCTGTGTCTGAATTTTTGTATAATCTTGCCCCAGCGAGCTTTTTAAAATAATTTTGGCAATGTTTAGCAATGTTAGGAAGCCACTGGAGCTATGCACTTTTAAATCTAGGAAAACTAATTTCTTTATAACAGCTTTTTGTGTTGGGTTTGTTTCCCTTCCCCCACACCTCCTATTAGCACGGTTGGCTACGTATGGTGCGAAAGAAGTTCAACATACATTCAACATTCCCAGCGTGAGCATTGAGCGATGCAAATTGGGCCCTGTGTCGTCTATTTATCCCAGGCTGGGAGAGGTGATCTAAGAGGCGGTGGGGTGGTTCCCACATCCCTTCCGGAGTCAGCGGTTCAAAACATAGCCCCCTGCAACGGATGAGACTCTTAACGCCGCAGCATGAAACCCCTTAAATACATTCGAGCACCCACGAGACGTTCTCTCTGCTAGGTAGGCCTTTAATCGCTTGTACCTGTCAAAAAATCTAGCAGCCGCTCCATGTCAACGTACCGGCATGGTGAAGCACTTTCAAGCAACCTCCCGTGACCCGCACGTCATGGGTCGTGGGATGTTCATCAACCGTACTTCACCACGCTGGTCAGTGTGGGTTGGTGAAGGCCTGGGAGTGCAGGCGTGGTAGCTTAGAAGTACAGTAGAGCAATGGGGCTTCGGCACTCCCCTCTACTGGTCACCACGTAGGTCTTCATGCCTGTGACTAGCTGTTTGCGGTACGTTGGTTACCAATCGAAGCACTATGCAGCCTCAAACGGCTTCGCTTCAGAGTTATGTCGAGATCGGGCTCACACGCCAAGTGATTTGGTCAAAGGCTCTCAATATACTGAAATAATTGTGCTTTTGGGTGGTCAACATTTCGTGGCATCATTTGCATTAAATTTATTGTGTCGTGGCCTCATAGCCCAAATTTCAACTCTGACATACAATTAGGCATAGCAGTGGTCCGGTCGTTATGGCAGTGCGCTTTGAACCTGGTGACCTGGGTTCGAGTCCCGGTCACAGATAACATCGGTGCAAGCGAGCGATATGTAAACTGGTCCTAGATTTTGATTTAAAGCTTTCGTGTCTGCAGGAATTCATATTCTTGGTTCTTTCGGTAAAGTCACGTAGAAGGGAAACAATAAAATAATAAAAATATAAAACAATGAAATTCTCACGACGTTTCGACTGCAAAAAAAAAATCTTGCTGTGGTTTTCACACCTGATGATGATTGCTTGTGTTGCAGTAGAAACGTCGTGAGAATGTTATTGTTTTATATATTTTATTTTATTGTTTCCCTTCTACGTGACTTTACCGAAAGAACCAAGAATATGGTCCTAGATTATCCACCTTAGCCAACCAGCAGTGATCAGCATGGTGAAGTATGGCCAAACAAAGCTCCCACGACTGAACGGCATTGGAGAGGCCTTCATCCAGCAGTGGATTTGCAAAGTGATGTCAAGTAATTAATTCGTTCGTTGCTCAGTCCGCTTGTCCTGGTGAGGATCGCGGCAGCAGCATGTTACCGGGTAAGGTTAACTGGGCTAATTGGGCTCTTTTTCAGAAGCGACCTGGCCACAAAAGGTAGATCAACGTGGAAATGTATAGCAGCCAAATGAACTAAGCGCATGTTCGTAAATGTGGAGAGAGAAAATCGGAGGACCCAGAAAAAAATCCACGTGACCACGTGGAGACGGGACATGCAAACTCCAAATATACAGGCATCAGTGTCAGGATTGAACCCACGACCTCCTGTACATCCGGTGAGGTAGTTAACATCTCGCAACGGTGATGAGATGTTAACTACAGGCTAACTAGCCAGTCTACTCAGGGAGCCTCTGCTTTGTTTCGAGGTTGGTACAAATAAACAATAATGCGCACGTTAAGCGCTTCTGCACGTGGCAATTTGTCTGGTTGTGACTCATGTGGTGGAGGTTCTTAACGACGCAGAATGTCCTCAGATTATTACGTGGCTTGAGATCCCAAAAAATATAATTTTATTCATAATTCTACCTGCAAAATCATGATAAGTATATGAAGATGCTCTTTTGAACATATTCTTAAATTCCTATATTTCCTGAAAACTATACAGAACCTGGACATGGAATTGTTGAGTTGTGTGGTAAGGTTGGTAACGATTTGTTTATGGGTTTTTAGATGTTCATGAAAACATCTAAAGTGTCCATGGAGGAATGGTTACACCATATTTCCCAGGCATGGCAAAAAGCTGCCAAGTGGCTCCCTTAAAAAGATAGTGAATTATAAATGTAACGGGCCATTACAATGGCTGCCTTAAATTTATATAAAGCAATAGCGGCACATTGAAACACTTCATAAATGTAAATAATGTGTAATTTACTGAAAGTAAAACAGCGCAGTGCGTGTGTAAGCTATGTCGAGAAAGTGAGGGATATATTTGATTGTTTGGACAGGTGAATTATGAGCATCTGAACGGAGCGATCACTTAGCCAATGCGAGTCGTGTTTCACACCGCTCTGGTTAATATCTCATGCAGCACGTGAGCAAAAGTGACATTCAGAGACGCGGTTGCATCTTCCTATCTCGCATCTAAATCAGCTCTGCTCAGTCCCCACCCCCCTCGTAATTCATCCTTAATTACAGTAAACTCATCACAAATGTACGTTGAATTTTAACTCTCCGAAGCACATCGCACTCTGTGTGTTAGTATGCATGTTTTCAACGTGCAATGCCGGCCTTCATAGGTGCTCGCCAACAACACTTTTCCCAACAGCCTGCTAAGGCTATACGGGGGATCTTTGTCTTTGTGTATGTTGTATAGTGGTCAGCATGCTACGAACCCGGCAACACGGTTTCAATTACCGCTCACGGTCAACACCAGTGACGATTATCTGAACCGATCCTGGGCCTCCCCTAAGTCGACTCAGCCTCAAACGAGTATATGGTGTGGAGTGTAAACATCGCCACTGGGGAGACAAAAGCGGCCGGGCGAGGTGTTGGCCACTCACCCCCTCATGTGCCGTGCCGGCCTTCATAGGTGCTTGCTAACAGCACTTGCCTCAACGATCTGTTTAGGCTAATTGGGTGATTTTTGTCTTTCTAAGCGTGTGACAGTGTCTCTTTGACTTAATTGCATGTTGAATCACTCATCGAAATGTGTGACAATTTTCTTTATTTTAGAGGCTGACTTTAGCCACCAACCATAGCAACTAATGAAATAAATTTTCGCTCGCACGCTATGTGGATTTAATATGCACTTCTATATGTTTCTCATTAAAATGAAGTGTACACATTACGCTGTTTTTTTTGCTTTCTTTTTTAAGAGGACATCATATTTGACCGTTTATACTTTCTCCCTCCCCCCGATTACATTTTTTTGACGCCTCTCTCTCATATTATTCCACAAAGTTGTTTATGCATGAACACGTTTCACACAAGGTTGTTGTTTTTTTTTCCTGCATCCCACGTTTCCGCACCAGGTCTCCCTTTACGGACGAGACGCGTGATCCGAATGGGCTCTCACCTGATGCGTGGAACGGCAATGAACCATGGGACGGAAGGAAGTGTATGCTGTCGATCGCTGTCTCCACAGGTATGGACTTTGGCTCCCCCAAGCTGCCTGGAAGAAAATCAGGATCTTGGTCTCAACAAAGCAGTATAGCCATGTGCTCACGGCGCTGCAATGCAAGCCAACACCGTGCCACAATTGCAATCATGAAAATTCCATTGTAACAAAAAAAATCCGCGTAAAAAAAAACCCTCATTGTAATTGTTGTACAATCTCTACCGAACCATTGCATGTAATGTGCTGCACCATCACGTGAGTTAAGTGTGTGGAAATATTGCGCTGCCGCGGCTAATGAAGGCGCAGGGATCTCGCCTCGTGACTCATCGCGAGCACTCGAGAGCGTGTTTTGACACGCTGACAAACGCGAATCTATTACGGGGAAAACAAACGCGCGTGGCGTTTATTTAAAAAAAAAGTCTCAGCCCCGAGAGCTCTTGGGGCTGAGTGGGAGAGACACACGGCGAGAGAAAGAGAGAGGGAGGTGTCTGCGCTGGGACGAGGAACTGGGAGCCACAGTCTATTTGGTGTTGACCAAGGGGGGATCCAGGGCCAGCTTAATTATGCGTCTTTCTGATCGAGACGCGCCGCCGCTTCCAGCCCATCGGCTGACGGATTTCGCAGCGAATTCCTCCACCGAACTAGTTGCGGCGTACGAAGCATCATTTGGATGGGGGAGCCTCTCGCGCGAGCTGGGGTATAGCGACGGCTGCCAAGAAAACACAGTTGCGTACAGCGTAGACTCGCCGGATAGCTCCTCGTTTCTTGAGAACTGCCTTTTTGTGTGTGTTAGTTTGTTGGGCTACGTACGGTGGCGAAAGAGGTTCAACGTGCACATCGCTGCGACTAATGAACGCGTTGGTTGTTTCACACGCTTGTTCGATTATTGTTTTTCTTCTGATTCAATATCGCTCGTCGTTAACACTTGTGGCTCGTTTGGAAATACCTCGTGGAATACAACTGTCCGACACAGCTGAGACATTTACGTTGACTTTACCGGAACGTCTAACTCCGTGTCAGCCTTTTGTATCCTCACATCATAACTAAAACATATACGTAAATATATTAATGGATATTCTTGCAAAACAATGCTACCGTGGTGCTAGATTTTAGTATATTATGGTTTCCTTAAGTATTTAAAAGGAGGCTTAGGCCATGAGTTGGCTCAGTGTGCTTAGTAAGCCCTCTGGGGCTGAGTGTTGGGTGATTATGCCACAAGAAACATCACAGCTTGTGGATGCAATGAACGCCAGAGATGTAGTGAGTTAAAGGTCTCAGCTCAGTCACCAATGGCCATGCAAAAATGCCCCCATCACATTAAATGTTCGATCTGCACTTGATATATCTGAATTCCAGCTCTGGGAATTAAATATATCGGCTTCACTGTCACGCAATGAACATTACGCAATGTAGCGTGTTAGAAAGTGTGTGAACCAGATGTCACTTAAAACAATATCTCAGTGGTAGCTCTGTGTCATCCGCTTCCACGGGCTGCCCTCTAGCACGACGTGTTGCACTGCTCTGCGATTGTGCCGAATGGATTCTGAGTCTCGGCATGTGACGCAGATAGCAGAATTTTGCGGGTACACTTGGAGGTGGAGGTGGCGGGGAGTGGAGGGAGGGGGATTGACGCCTTTGTGAAGGGAATGCACTTGACACGTGGGAGCGCTTAGGTGTTAAAATGTCACTCACAAGTGCTGGTAATGAAGTGGATGGTCGCAGGCGCGCCACGTTGCTGGTGTGTGAAAACAAATATCGCGGCATTTGACGGGATGATTCGCGTTTAGCGGGTTGTAACAAGGGTGACCGTGAATCAGCTGGGGCTTGGACACGTCAAAAAAACGCACCTGCAGACACTGCATATTGACCGCCAGAGATGATGTGGCCGGCTCTCTTTCCAGGCAGCCCCTGAGACCCGACGGGTGATGGAACTGCTGACAATGAACGCTCCGAGTTAAACCTTCAGGCAACAAGTCCACGTTTATTTTGTTTAACCAGGCGAGAACTCAAGAGGCCAAGATAGTCTCATGTGCACGAGTCACCTGGGGAATTAGTCTGCCAGTAGGGGGGCGGGGGGGGCGATGATTGCTAAGTAGACTCCCGATTGAATAACTTGCGGTGTAAAATTCAAGCGTGGCAAATTTGGAACGTGACGTTGGCGCGCAACGCGGCTCCCTCGTACGAACGACGTCGAGGGATATTTGAACATCCAGCTGTGAGGCAGACAGGGCGTCGTAAGTATTGTATCATGGTCGTCGCACACCGCGGTAATGATCGGGGCGGCCGCTGTATTCAAACCGTGAGCCTCTTTGACAAGCGACGAACGCCGCTACCTCGTTCTCGGTGGGCGCTCAACTCTTAGTGGTTGCTCGAAGTCGTCTAACGTCGCGTACCTGTCAACCCCGTATCAGTGCCCCACCTTATTACAGACCAATTCAGACCTTATTGGGAACCCCGTGTCCCTTATAAATCTCAACGTTCATCCTACAAAGTCCCATGACAAGGGAGAAACACATAGAGACAGACACTTTTTTTGTCCGTATTGAAACGGCTGTTCGCCGTATGGACCTGAAAACTCGATTTCTCTGTACAAGAATACGGAAAACCGTGTGGGTTGACAGCTGTGACATCGGGACGGGTGGAGGCATTGTACTGTTGTTGCTCATCTCCCTGCCTCTGCAACTCTATTCCGAATCAAATGAGGAGGGCTACGAAACACATTTCAATCTTTTAAATAGAAAGCAAAACATATAATTGTGCGAGGTGGCTTGTATTTTTGAGATTCATTGGCAAAGTGGTTTCTGGATGAGTATTTTTGTATTATTGTATTGTACCCGTGAGGACACTGCGTGAATAGCACTTCCGTAATCTCCACATTGTGATGCAGTTACTTCGCGTGGTTTTGAAACAAAAGTTGGGGGGAGCATCTTAGAATTGGCCACGTGGCCTTTATTGCCGCCATTTTTGAATTACTTTATTGGCGCCCATCACAGTCAACAACTTTATCGCCACCACAGCCACTTTTATTTTCCCCAGTTTCCATTCAATATTTCGTAACTTTATATTGTATACACTCGTGTCCCACGTGTCCTCGACACACCTCTGTGTAGCACGGTTGGCTACCTACAGTGCGAAAGAAGTTACACACATTAAAAAAAAAGAGCCCTGCTCTTTGCATCATTAATTTTTGGGGATTTTTTTTTTTTCAAAGTGACCCCCAAAGTTTTTTGTGCATCGTTCTTCCCGGACAAGCTTATAACCCAAAGAATATAATCCAGAGAACGCGGTACGTAAAACACATCTGATTGTTATTGGTGAACATCGCAACTCTTGGAACCTAAGCGTCCTGTGTGGTGTGAGATGTTCAACAACTCTCAGCCACCTTGCGTCAGCCTGCGTGGTGCCGGTGGCGGTAAATTTCACCATCAGTAAAAAAAAACACATTGATACGCTAGACAATGCTGCGTTGCAGATATAAGTACCGCCCGACGGACGACCTGACGCGCCAGTCGGAGGTTACGCTAACAGGGTCAAACTCCGATGGCCCGGATAATTTGTCACAGTTCCTAATCGATAGTTCGCAAGACCTCAGCTCGCCACCAACCCGTCCGAGCCGCTATCGTCTCGTGTTACTTACCCCCCCCTGCTCACGGCACGGGATGCCTTCTTAGGCTTGGCTCTCATCCGACGATAACGAAGCTTCTTGGCTGCCGGCCGATGATGCACTGACGACGACGAAGCTGCCGCTTTCTGTGTGTGTTGTTTAGCGGTGGGGTCCGGCCTGAAGGAGTCGGGCGTCGTCAATGGGAGACGGATCAATGATCGTTGATCTAAAATCCACCTTGTGTCCGTGCATACCTCCTGCACTTTTAACGTGCGGACGAAATTAATTGTTTATTTTACCCAGGAGAAGTCTCACTAGCCGGGTTTATAATAAGAGGTATGTGCTGTGAAGAAGGGCCGTTGCTTGACATGTCACCGATGTTTCTGTATTTTTTCCTCTTAAGGACACAGTGTTATTGATGATCGTGTTGATTTAGGTTTTTTTTATTTGTGCTTGCACACCACTGCCAATGCAGCAGCAGCCGCAGCAGCAGCGTCACCCAATACTGTGTTTAATAAGAGGTTGGAGAACTAAGTCAGATAATTCTAGATGACACGCGCGTAAGTCGTGCAGTTACCGTTTTCCACTGCAGAATTGATTCACGGTGGCGGCCACGACTGGCATCGTGTACTGTCATATTTGGCGTGGTTTTTAGAGTAGTCCTGTTCTATAACCATATGTAATTGGATGAAACTCATCACATGTAACTAATATTGATTGTAGTGCTATTCACTACGTCAAAGATACATTTTAACACGTCGGCTTTCGCGACCAATATCATCCATGATAGAGTTTTTTTTTTAGTTAGATCGTGTAAATATATAAATGTGTCGTTTAAACCCGCCACCACCCGACACAGCCAACTAGTAAGGGTTGTCACGTAAACAGAACGTGGCCAATTCGTCACTAGTACAGCACTAACCGGTGTGTTGGAGAGCCAAACCACAACATTTACAATCTGAGTACGACGTTACGTCAGTAATTACAACTTGCTTCATCAGGCGACAGACAAATCTGGCTGTTTGCTGATGAAGCTAGTTGCAATTACTGGCGAAACGTCGTACTCAGATTGTAAATCTTGTGGCTTGGCTCTCCAACACACCGGTGTGCTGTACTAGTGACGAATTGGCCACGTTCTGTTTACGTGACAACCCTTACTAGTTGGCTGTGTCGGGTGGTGGCGGGTTTTAACGACACATTTATATATTTAAACGATCTACCCCAAAAAAAGCTCTATTATGGAAAAATACATTTGTTACAAAAATAAAGACCTACACATTTATGTCCTGTTTGCGAGTCGAACAACTAGTGTTTGAAGAATATATACAACCATTTGCCTGCTTTATAAATTTTAATAATAACTTTTCGTCTAATAAACAGCACTTATTTGGATTTTAAAAGGTGAATTGGTAACCTGGTAACT